GCCAATTGACACCGATAGTGGAGGGGGTATTTTTCTGGGCACTTCGTAGGAGATTGGCCATATCGCGCAACATAGGCATCGTGAGAGCAGCACCTCTGGTATCCATATCAAGTAACCAATTTTCCATTGATTGCTCTTCAATTTCAGTGAAAATATGGCCAGTTGGTCTCTTCTCAGCCAAAGATTCGCGCCCATTGATCCGATACTTCAAAGTTGAGACAGGTAAATCAAATGATCGTGCAGCAGCTGCAGCAGAGGGATATTTACCATCTTTTATAGCCTTTATAGCTAATAAAAGACGGCCCTCCTGCTCTATCAACTTTTTTTCGATCAGAGCGTTGGGGGGCATTTTTGTTGTGGTTAAAAAACATGTTTTATTATTGAGGGGGATTTTTTATGGGGTCGCCCGACCGGCAGTGTCGCCCGGGAGACCGTGAATCACGTTAATTAGGAGTGTCCGGAACAAAAGTGGGAGTGTCCCTATCAATTCCCTGGGGGAAATTCCGTAGGCTCCCCGCACTGTATTACGGTATTCGCTTATTCAGCAACAACCACATTACCGTGTTCTGTATGGTAATTGCGATCATACCGGAAAAATTATGTCGTAACACGCAGTACATAGCTCATTGGATTATTTTACTAATCTAACAGATCCTCGATCAACCATCTTCATTAGCCAACTATATTCGTTACTGGCTGAATCGGTATCCAGCATCCTGAGAATTCTCCTCATTCGAGCAATTGGGTGCAATGAGATTGATTGACTTGGATATTGAATAACGATATCATCCCTTGTGACTGTATTGCCCCAACAGGATGTCAACACTGGGTTGGGTTCTATTTAACAATTTCAAAAGTAATCAAAGACGATGACCAATCCAATTCTAGAGCCCTGATCATCACAATCTTCACTTCCTATGCGTGGCTAGACAGACGATGGGCCTTTTCAGTCTTCGAAGATCCACCTCATGCGCTAAATCAAGTCCATATATGTGGCAATTTCAATAGTCTAAACAATAGTCTAAAAGATTTTATCCAATATGTGAATTATGCCCAGCAATAACAATTGAGCTACTCGAAAGCAAAGCGCTGTGGCAGATCTGCGATCTTGAAAGCTACGTGCACACACGCTGAGACATACCGGTACGTCTGCAATTGTTATCAAAATGACTTGAAGATTTACGATATTTCCAATTTCATAAATAAGAGGCAAGACTAGAACATCATGAGATCAATCGAAGGATAAGGGAACGGATGACTGTTTTTTCTTGTGAGTTGTACTCCAGTAGACTTGTATTGACCCCTTGCTCCGCCCGGGGAATTGACGTGAAAATTGCTTGATCACCTCTGACCAAGAGAGTTTCTGGTTTTCTCTTAGCTTCGTCAAAAGGTGATCTTCCTCCCCGGACCACGGCTGTCCTTTTCTCGAAAATGTACCTTGCACTTCAGCCCGTTCAGTGTTTAAGCTTGTGTGATCACAGTCGTAGCTCACATCAAATTGGCCGGGGACCGGTCTTGACGGAGAAGCGGCATCGGGGCTGGAAGGCGAAGAGGCGCAATGATATAGAGCACCCTCAAACAGCCAGGAAAGGAACTGTAGTCGGTCTTCGACTGAAAGGGCCGAGAATTGAGCACGGACTGTAGGGAAGGAAATGCTTTGACGATGACCAGAACTTTTATTGAACCGGCCGGGGCTCTTGTTTATGTGCCTTTTCCCAGGACTAGAACGTTTTGTGGTGTTCAATTGGCAATCAGCGCCCACCGTCGCCTTTGAGTTCTGTCGTCTGCGTTGGAGGGATGATGCTTTCTCCTGAGAGCGAGTGGACCTCGCGGGACAGTCTTCCCGGATTGTCGCGATACCCTCCGCTGTTTGCGGCTGCTCAGCATCCTGAGAGTCATTGCCGTTCAGGATTGCAGGATCAATTATTTCAATACCTGGTAGCTCTCCATTCTGAGCATCGTCTTCAGAATCGAAAATTTGAGGTTGTTGACCAGCAAAGCCGGTAGGCTCCGAGCCGCCCGATTCCAAACCCAGGGGTTGATGCTCAGCGTCCCGACGAACACCATCAGCAAAAATCGCAGGAGCGACGTCATCGGCGCACACTATGTTTTGTGGCTGCAGAATGTTCTCAGAGTCGAAAGACTGGGGTAAATCGACAGTGGAAGGTGTCCGACCTGAGCCCTCCCATTCTCGTCGAGTGGTTTGAGTCTCCGAATGCAAACTATCCAAGCAGACTTCCGTCGGCGGGCGGGCAGGAAGCGGATGTCGCTCAGGTTTGTTGGAATGACGTTTGTAGCTCTTTGGGTCTTTATCGCTTGAATTGGAGGGTGGCGGGGTCGCAGTGATCGAGACCGGACTTGGATAGCGACAAGCACCGGGGGGATCACGCAGAGGCTGGGCTTTGTCTTGGAAAGGATTCCACGGACGAAATGATTCCAGGCGAAAGTTGGTGTTTGACATGTTGAAAAAGGTAGATGGCTAGAAGAATCCTGAAGGTGTTGCTTTGGGAAGGGAAAAGGAGGGGGGTTGGAGGTCGAGTGTGTAGCAGGGTTAGGGGGGAGGGAAGGGGGAACTGATGGATTGATTGAGCCATTCGAAGGAGATTGTCATCTCCTTTATAGACAAGGATTTCCCGTGAGACGGCGCAGAGAATTCACCGCGGCATTCAACTCGAGCCGTTTCACCGTCACATCAAGGCGCGGAGCCACACCAGTTGCACATCAAGGGGCCGAAGGCCATCGGCAAAAGCTTCCGCACACCTCGGTGGCGGCCTATTGTGACCCGGCTCCACAGTGGTCGTCAGCCTAATCTCCAATCGCTCATGTATGCGCGTGGTCGGCAGCCGTCTGTAGAATGGACCGTCGGCCTCGTGATGCAGTACTAGGCATCGATTGAGACCAGGCAAGAATGCGGCAATTTCGCCATTGGTCCGTATCACGGCATGGTCGTCCGAAGTCTCGTCGACTGGGTAACAATGGTCAGGAGAAATAGACAATGACGAAAGTCTTACCCTTAGGCAGTCTCGAACAAGCGGGCCTGCGTGGACGACCGGGGGCTGTACAATGCAACCTCGGACGGTCCACAGCAAATCAGGAGCGTGTGTATTGAGGATTTCCGAGACACTCTTCTCCGGCCGCACAAAAACAATGACAGCAAAATGAGCGAGGCGCTCAGCGAAATGGGCTCGCAACAGGAGGAACAGGAGGGTTTCTCGAGAGCTTCATAGTATAACCAACGGGCGGCGGAGATGCTAGCATCGTGTTGCACGATATGTCCGAAGACTTCATGATCTCAATGCATCAACTCGCCAGGGATTAGCCCGCGTTGCAGGCAACGCTGGCCAGAACGGGCTCAACGGTGGATCGAGCAGCATCTCCGGCGGAAATGAAAGGGGCGATGCATCAGGTGGCAAGCCAATGGGTAGAAGTTGGTCGGGGCCGAGAGAAAGGGAGTCGGACAGGAAAAAGAAGAGAAAGTGCGTCGACAAAACTGCGAGGAGGAGAGCGGTGTTTTATAGATGGGGGTGCCGGTTGGGGGACGGTAAAAGCGGCCAGAGGTGGCACTAAACCCGAACCGGGACGCGGACGAGGGCACCAAACCCGAAGGGGCAAGGGGATGGCGGAGACGGGCAGGCGGTCGAGGGCGGCAGGACGGCGGTGCAATGAGAGCCGGTTCTGGCCCCCCGCTCACCGTGTCCTCGTATACTTCAATATTATAATAAATCTCCTAGGTGAAAAGGAGATAATTAGGTCACGGTGGTGCGGCTAAGGTGATTATGTGAATACCGTCGGAGAGTATAACTATAGTATTATGCAACTATTTAATATAATAGTAGTGGATATTTCTAGGCTATAGCTACCATCTAGATACTCTAGGCCTAAGTTAGCAGGGCCTCCTAGTTCACTTTAGCTAGAGTTAAAAATTCAAAGACCTCTATTAAAATTCAGAAAAACTCATTGTCAACCACCTCGTACCCAACTTAAAGTTCTTAGCTTCCCCTCGGGAAGGAAATACTTTTTTTTTATTTTTTATTTTTTTAAATTGCGTCGAGAGACCAAATCTCCTAGCAAAGCCCTTATCTCAGGTCACTGACGGGGAAAGTTCTAGATTCCCAGAGGCCACCAGGGCTTGAGGCTGCGGAGGAAAGCCATCACAGCCATCATGCGCATAGGTATTGTCACGGCCGCAAGAAAATTGAGGCTCTGTAGTGTGAACTATACAAATATAGAAGGGCGGGGAACTGAAGATCAAGTGACGTGGTGTCAGGGTGAGGTGCATGATGCTGCGCGGGGCGTGGAAGTCAGAGATGAAGGGGCGCTTCGGGCGCAAATCCGAAATTGCGGGCACTCCGTGTGCACGGGCCTCGATGGACCCTAGTAACTGCATGTGTAGCCATCCTGACAGAGGTCTGAGAAGTGAAGATGTGGAGAACATCCTGCCAACCTCCGGAACTGCTGGAAGTAGTTTGCTGTTCCCTTTTGATTGGTTGCTTGGAGTGCTAAGGATGTGAGGATGACTGCATGAGGGTGTTGATCCGACCTATTTTCTGATTTTCCTGCATTTTGGCTGATGTCCCCCCATCGTAGGCCCATGTACTGCATCAAACACGACGCACCTCGCCACATCCATGAACATGAATAGCACTTTCTATAAAGAGTAACTCCGTTAAGGTGATTTGCTGGCACCACTCATTTGATCTCATTTTTTTTTTGTTGCATTGTCGTTCATTTACTCAAATTACTGCATCACATCTGCAACCCGGGTTGAAGCAGCAGAGCCTCTCACACTAACACTCTTGAGTAAGGAAAGCATCTCCACATATTGAAGTGATGCATATGTGGCATATGAACTGCATACTACACTCCTCCTGCTAGAAAGTCTTTAATACAAACTGAAAATTCGCCCCGCTCTGAGTTTACCAAAGAGCTTTCCCTGCACGAAACAAAAGTGGGACATTATAAATAAAATCAACCTGACCAAACTCGTGTATACTGTAAGAATGATTTGCATTCAACAGTACGGCAACTGTAATAACACGACTAGGAAGCCTTTCGCCGAAATGAAGCCCGAGACTCAGGTCAAAGATGTCAGTGCTATGGCCAAGCCTGCCGGGAAGACCCAGCCTTGGAAAGTGTTCATGAGCGAGCCTATAGTCCGTCCATTTCCCGTCGACGAGGCTACTGAAAACCACGTTTTACGCCTGAAGGTCGAAAAGGATCAGCATGGCCTCGGTGGATAATGACATTTTTTTGAGCCTTGAGATTTACCGAGGAAAGGAGGGACCATGAGATTACTAGTCTAGCAAAACAAACGAATTTGCGAGTGGAGCGTCAGGGCTCCTTGGTTCTGTAATTGAACGGTAATCTAAGAATGCTGTCTGTACCTACGTTTTCTTGAAATGTGAGTGGGGTTAATGCTTAGTTGATAAACATGGCACATTCTCTACCTGTCCTGCAACGTCTCTCACAACCTCCACTTCATATATTCAAAGTACCAGACCTTCATCTTTGATTATGAAAGCTACTCCACTAAGTGTTGCAATTTGTGGAGGGGGGGCATGTGGTTTGGCCGTACTCGTCTCCCTCCTCGAAGAGAATAGAAGTTCCAGCTGCATTAGCAACATATGCATTTACGAGAAGGCTCATGAAATTGGTCCGGGCTTGGCCTATTCTAGCGGCTGCGAAAATGCCATCTTGAACATGACTGCAGATGCAATGGGTCTCGTTGAAAATAATCCGCTACACTTCAACGAATGGACCAAATCAAATCATCCAGAGTTCGATGGAGTTCGGTATCCTCCACGACAGATCTACGGGAAATATCTCACATGGCTTTTCGATCGTGCAACCGAGAACGCCGCATCCCAAGAGATACACTTGGAGGTGATACACAAGGAACTTGTTGCTCTCTCTCAATTTGGAAACAAATTTAAGGTCGTGGATGATGACGCCAAAACAACCATGGTCGACAAAGTCGTTCTCGCGCTTGGGAACTTCACCAAATGCACTCAACCGGATCTCATAAATCATTCCGGATATTTCAGTAGTCCCTGGCCGTTGGGGCGTCTAGATGGAATCCTGCCATTTGCCCCAGTCTGTATCATTGGTTCAAGACTATCTGCTATTGATGCTGCATTCCGATTAGTGGCAAATCATCATAAGGGGCCGATATATCTTGCCTCGAGGTCAGGACGTCTCCCGGGAGTCCAGGGGCGTTCTAGCCAAGAATACAAGAAAAGATACGGCTTACAGATGATTGCCAGAGAACTTGAAGGTACTTCAAAGTCTATAGGTGTGTTCGATGTGTACGATCGACTCAGGTCACATTTGGATGGCTTCAACACCCCTAATTGGGAGGCCTACTTGAATGAGGAAAATGCCTTACAACAGCTAACTCAAAATGTTTTGGAGGCTGAGCAAGATAAACCATCTTGGAGATCGGTGATTGATGCCGCTGCCCCAATGTTTGAGAGATATTGGAATTGCATTACAATGAAGGACCGCCTCATGTTCATTGATGACTGGAACTCTGCATGGTACTCAATTGTTCACGCCATGCCATATGAGAATGCACTTCATCTCCAGCAGCTCTTGCAAGAAAGGAGAATAGAAGTTGTAAAATTTCATCAGATCAAGCCGTCTCAGGATGGGTTTAGCATCATAACGGCAAGTCGGGCAATTCAGACAGATTTCATTGTTGAGGCTACTGGTCTGGAATTGAATGTTTCACACATTCAATCATCGGTTATAAAATCTGTTCTCTCATCAGGAATGCTGGAGGGAAGCCCCCTGGGTGGATTTTCCGTGAATCAACACACCCTGGAATCGACCAAAGCCAAAGGACTATACGTTATCGGCTCCTTGACTACCGGTGTTCATTTCTACACGAATGGTATCGACAGAAATACTGCACATGCATCGCGTATCGCGCGAAATATAGTTGGAAAACCTCTTTATTAGACTTCCCGATGGGACTGTGATGAGAGGAAGGTCGCTCCCGAGGTCCCACATCCCATCCCACGACATCTGGACTCTCAACATTGAATGATTCCCATTCCCATCCCTATCCCACGGGGGGTGGTGAACTCTGCCAGAGTTCAGGTCTTGGCGGTCCCTTCACTATGGGAGATAATAGTACATAAAAAGTGGGCCCCGCCTGAGTTCAGGTTAATTTCCTCGCCAGGGTTCAGAGATCTAATGAACTCCGAGCGATCTGAAATTTTTATAAGTTATAATAGACTATATGAAATATCTCCTATTTGCTTCGGAGAATGCATAGCCTACTAGTTATCGAGAAAATGGTGATTAAAAATTAGAGATATTTTGTTGGGGTGTACCATTACGGTATACGATTAGCACCTAAGACGCCGCTACAGCACTCTAGACGAATAGAACAACCTCGATAATGCTAGTCAATAATGATCAGGAGGGGTAGCCATTAATTCAGGGGGTTTAAAAGCTTCCTAGCTATTATCTCACTTTTCTTTTACACCATTTCACCCCAAAGTTAGCATTAGACATTCGTCAAATTTCATGCAATTCACTATTGTACGATATATATCTACATCTTTATTATGCAAACCCAATTTTTTCACCAACCTTCGACAGACCCAGTCTTCGTGTGTAAGACATGCGAGCACGTCGTTAGACCGAGAGAGGTCTTTCGACACTTTCAATCTCCGAACCATCGCTTTCCAATGCCGAAAGCACGCCAAATCGCTAAAGCTGTTCAGACCTCTGAGCGCGCGCAAGAATGCGATGAATGGCAAGCTCCGACCGCGGTAAATGACCCAATTGCTAATTTGCCAGTTTTTTCGGATGGCATTTTATGCGAAAAGGGTCAGTTTTGTCAATTTATCGCTAGGAAAGCTAGCACTATACGTAAGCATTGGCGTGAGCAGCATGGCTGGGTCGCACCGGCTCACTATGGCGGCCGTCGGCGGCAGCAAGGTTTATCGGCGGCCGAGCAGCAAATTCAGCAATTTACGCGCGTCGTAAGATGCCAGCGCGCATTTATCCAGGGGCCAGGATCTCATTATATTCGGGTGCGTACGCTCGGGGTAGATGCCATTGCCGAGACCGATTCAATGCCCGCGACCGAGGTCGGCGACCGGCTTATTGATGAAATCGAACTAGCTTTCAAAGAGGAAAGTGAGCTACCCTAGCTAATTGAAGCTGGCGAGCGCGATGACGCGAATCCATGGCTCCGTCGTACGCGGTGGGCCGTCTACCTCCGTGGAATCGACCCACAGCACCTTATTGACTGCGTCCAACCACCCGACATCGATTTATCCGATCCGACGGAAATGGCGGCAATCGCTATATGGGATGCAATGGCCGCTGTCGCGAGAATTAGCCAGTTGATTTGTACGAAAACTAGCCATACCATTCGCACCGAAGCCGTACGTACGGAGCGTGACCGACTGCCGCACCAGCCATTGCAAGCTTACATGGATGCCGATAACATTGAGAGACATACCATACCGTGGCAGCAAATTTTAATGTCTTTCACTCGTACGCAGGCTTCGCATGAATGGGCCAGTCCAAATTACAAATTCATTAGGAGCCAGCGAGCCGCGTGGAACTCGCTTTGGAAACTGGCTCAGCCGGGCGCATCACCTAGGTCAGCCAGCCCAGCCATGGCTAGTTTAGCCACGGCTGGTTCAGACGATAATAGCGAGCATTCGGAGAGTGACACCGAGGATCAGCCCACCCAACGAACCGTCAGCGAATCGAGAGCGAATAGAGCACAAAACAGCACCGTGTCCGGTGTAGGAATCCTGTCTTCAAAACATGGTGCACCATGGGGATCTTCCAACCCCTCGCCATTCTCGACTTTCGCAACACCGATACGATATACCTTGTGCTTCTCTGGAGAATATATACGATAGATGGCCTCACTCTCACAACCGACGAAGTAACCCAGCCAGCCGCGAGCCCCATGCAGCTTTGCCATCGCAGCTGTACTCCTCATTTCTTCCATATATGTGACATATGCTCGGCTTCCCCAGATCCACTCCCTCGTGAGGGTGAATCTTACCCCTCTTAACGCCTCATACGGAGTCTTTACCTCTTTCCTGCGTAGTTCACGCGCTGGCATTCGATTCTTCAGCCAGACAGCTTGTTGTTCAACCCTGATGCATGCCAGACTTGATCTCAAAGCAGTGCTCGTGTTATGACGATGTAGTAGAAAGAATAGAAAGGATATTTGAAATCAATGCTATACACCTGTTTATCATGAACATGCAACCAATAGTAATAGAACCGGATTGATGATAACTTAAGCTATTCTCTCAGCTTAGATACAGAATCATATCTACTCGGGAATCTTGACCTTGGCCGTTGCCGCCTTCCAGAACGGACTCTCGCGCATCGCAGCTACTGCATCAGGACTGCTCATCTCCAGATCATATTCTGCGAGCATAGTGAGGGCATCTTCCTTCTTCTGGATGTCCTCACCCAGCCTTTTTGCCTTTTCTGCATCCAATAAGCCTTTTGTCCGTTCCAACTTGGGCTTCAAAACCACCCAGTCAGGTCCGGGGCTCCAGCCATATGAGGTCATGAAGGGCATCCATTTTAAAATATATGCTTTCCGTTTTTTAACCCTTTCGTCACGATCCTTTTTGATGGCAGCGGCGTTGGCTTCTGAGTCCCTGCCCTTGCTCTCTTCAGCGAGCTTGTTGGCTTTTGCTTTCTGCGCTGCTGCTAACGCGGCCGCGGCTGCTTTCCTCTGCATGACAATCTTCTGTTTATTTGTCTCATCGCAGTAATTAATCTTGAAGACCATTTGTTGCAAAGACACAAATTCGTTCATGACTTTCTGATGCTCATCCCATTCTTTCTTGAGCGTCGAGTAGTCTTTGTCAGCCTCTTCAGCGAGGCCTTTAAGTCTCTCTTGCACTTCTTGGTCATGCCTTTTTTTCCTTTTATGTATATTTCCTTTTCGTAAGCATAATCGGCCTTCTTTTTGTCGTATATTTTCTTGCGCCTCTCGACCTCCGGCGTCTTCTCCCATGATTTCATCCTCGCGTAATTCCTATAAGCGAATGCAAATATAGAGTTTGGTGGACCAAATGTTCCTTCTTCCTGAGATGTAAATTCAGGCCGTTCAGGTTCCTGGGGCTCTTTTGGAAGATCTTTGATAATTCTCTGCTTCAGCTTTTCCAACTCAGGCTTGTCCATGTTGTCGATGTCTTTGAATCGGAAGTTGGACACGTGGGGGATGGTGGCGCCTTGGAGGACGTAGGAGAATTCTAGCGTTACCAGGCTATAATCCATGACTGGGGTGTTCTTTTTCCCGAGAAATTCCACCATGACATTGGCTGCTTTGTCCTGTTCTCCGTACAGGAAACGGTTGTAGGATGTGTCACCCCCGATCTGGAGAGTAAACAATGAGGTGGTCTTTTCGTTGTCCTGTCCTTCTTCGACTAGGTACTGGATGGGGTATTTAACGCCATGTTTGAACTGACTCGTTAGCTTGATTCTGACTCCGTGGGACGGACTGTCTTACCCGAGGGTAAATTACGCCTTCTTCGCCGTCCTTTGTGCTCTTACCCAGCCAAATGTTTTCCTGGCCCTCACTCATGGGAATCCCAAACGCAGTGCCGTATGGGCGAATATTTTTAGTCATCGGTTTGAGGGTCACGTCCGAAATAAACTCCTTCCCGTGCGGCAGGAGGGAATGAGGATCTGTCAAAGCTGGAACCATATGTGACTGGGCGATATGTTTTTCTTCTGGCTGGCCAAAGTAAAGTCTCTTATAACCGTACTTGGCATTATCAGGCGGCAGCTCAAGCGAAAACCCGACAAGGTTTGTTAGGTCTGCATTAATATGGAGGATGTTCTGGACTAGAGTTGGGATATCTTCGTAGCCGAGGAATTTGCCGATTAATTCGTATATGTTGATAACGTCGGCTTGCTTCATCACTCGCCAGTTGTAGAAGGAAGTCACAGTGGGACACCATTTCGGTGGACTAGTCCAGTCAGCATATCTTCCGGGTTAGATATTGTTAACGTACTTATTGCAAAGAGTTGTGTCTCCTCCCTCAGCCGACCAAGACATAGAATGCGTCATTTTCTTCTCTGTTGAAGTCTTCTTATCACCAGTATTCTCTGTATTGCTGTAGTTGACCTCTGCTTGAAACCCATGCCCAGACACCGACGCACTAGCTGCTGCCTTGAGCATCTTGGTTTTCTCACTCACGCTAGTCCCAGCCACAGAGTCCGATTCATCGATAGAAACTAATTTGCCGCCGAGATGGACACTGCGTGTGAAGAATATACCATATCGCTTTTGAAAGTGGTGCAGCTCATCGAGGGTACGTCTGTGTCGCAGATTATAAATGTCCGCTTGACATTCATTGCTTAGTTCGAGGGTTTCCTCATTCAGAATCAGCTCCACACGAGGGAACTAGTTATCAAGCAGTCAGCACTAGACATTAGAGTTTTTTATCTGCGATCTCACATCATAGACAACATGCATGTAATTTGTGTCGTTGAATCTGGAACTTGCACTCTTCTCATCATTACTCCCTCTCTCACCTCCCTTGGCAGCACCGCTAAATCCAAACGCCGTTCCCGCACTAGTTCAAATTCATATTAGTTATTGTCAGATATAGAATATACTAGGCTACTGACATAGCTGCATCGATGGATGTCTCCGTAAAACTACTTTGGGCCATAGTTGTCTCTAGTGAACCCTTCGTTTCAAACACCCGGACCTGAGATGCGTCTTTGATGTGGAAGCGGGGGATGCGGAATAAGTGCTATATTAGTATATTAGCCTTGAATATTCAAATGTTATATCAAGAAAGAACAGTGGTACGTCTGGTGGTTCAATCTTCAGTTCGTTCATCTGCTTCTCTTCCTTTGCGGTAATCGTAAATGTGATGTCATAGTCTAACAGCCTTCTAGGCTTCAGGGCGAATGCTATATCCGTTAGCACGAAACATAATTCCATAGGATCTCAGGTAGATACCAGAATAATAAGCCCTCTCCACATTTGTGACGTCAATTCCAGGCCGTGTAATATCCTCGTGCCCCGGCACTTTGATGATCTTTTCCACAGGCCCTGTCGGGACATAACGTCCCGTTCTTGGTGTACGCATTCTTGCGCGGAGCTGCAGCTCTGGTGTTGTGACCGCCGAGTGTCCGTGCATGGGATTAAGGGGTATCTTGGAACCTGAGATGAGCTGAACACACATCTATCTATCTATCTATTTTTACATGAATCAAATTGACCTTTGCTTTGGAAGCATAACCACTGTCCACTTAACTGTGTACACAGTACCTAGCTGGTGATACCAACACTGATCAGTGGTTGATTACAACCACAGAACAGCTCGGTTTACACGACCTGGAAGAGGCATTAACCGCAAGGGAACGGGGAAACAGTTGCAGTACCCTCATTGCGGAAGGTGTGCTAAAGGATATCAAAGTATCTGATTGGGAAACGGTTGCAGTACCTTTCAGACACGGAGGATTTCCAAAAGATCTACAGTTGAAACCGCAACGAAGATCTGCGTCCACCACGCGAACAAGGCGTTAACGGGAAACAGTTGCAGTACCGTCACGACACGCACCCCAACACATTCATTTCGTTTATCCATTTCATTCACGATTACCGTCGATTAGACAACCATGCCAATCCCAGACAACCTCGGATACGCTATTGATGAAGAAACATGGCAGAAATCCATCGATACACTCGACGAGAAGAACCAGACGGAAGGAATACTAAACGGCTATATAACTTGTGTACTGCGGACATGGAACATGATGGGCATTACCGGCCGTGGCCTATGGAACGACTTTCGCGAGGAGTTTAATAGATGGACCCTAGACACATTCAAGGTGGCGAACAGAGCCGCACTGAAAATGATTCGAATTCACCTCACTGCCCACGGAGTATGGGTCAGGGTAGGTCCAGGGATATCTTACGCGAAGGGACTATTCGACTGTCTCCAAGAGGTCACTCAGCACGAATGGACCAAAGAAGAAATCGAAGACCATCTAAAGGAGCAAGCAGGCAACTTCAACTCCAGAAGGAACCCTGCACGCGACCAATCACCAACAATCCGACCAAGTGCCCCAGCAGCACGAGCTACTTCGGCGAATCCACCAAATCCCCAAACACTACGAACCGATGTTGCGAAATCACACGTCGGACGAGTCGACCAGAGAGAGGAAGAAGCCACATTCGCAACGCTCGATACAGCCGCGGAGGTTACAACCAGTGCAGAGGAAGTTATGGATACGGCAACAACCGTGAACTCGCTCCCTTTCGTGGATAAGGACCGCGAGGAGACTACCGGGGAAGTCGACGGCGCAATCAAGGGTCCCACCAAGGGAGATGCTATATCTGTGGACAACCAGGATGCTGGTCGAAGTATCATACCGGGGAAGAACAAAATCGATCCCTTGACAACTCCCGCGAACAACACTTCTTTACGACGAGGCCGAGGACAACCACCAGATCCGAAAAACAAGCCAAAGCCGCAGGCATCCGTTCGGCGAAGCACTCGACGAAAGGCTGCTGATCTCCAAGATGTCGAGGATCAATTCATCAACGCTATCCAGGAAGGACAAGACGTTTCAATGGTGCCTATGACAAACAAAGAACGAGCCGATATGGAATTGTCCATCAAGTTGAGGAACGAAAGTGTCATCACGACCCCTGGATCGCCATTCGAGCAGTCCCAGAACAAGGAGATTGAAGGGCTGATAGCCAGAGGGGTATTCGACTTCGTGCAATACGATCCAATGAAGCACGATGGTGTACGCATCTTCAACTCGCGCCTAGTCAACGAGATCAAGGGTAAGGCTACGGGTACGCCTTTCGAAAAGTCACGGCTTGTTATCCAGGCCTACAATGACGAAGGAAAAGGGATGATTCTCACCCAATCTCCGACGATTCAGCGAGCCAGCCAACGTATCATCGTTGCACTGGCCCCATCACTGAGCGAAAAGAACATCAGTCTGTCGATCCGGGACATTACACAGGCATATGTCCAGTCAACAACCTCATTGAACCGACTGATCCTGGCGTATCTACCCAAGGAGATTAAGAGCAAATTCCCAGCAGGCACAATTATGGTAGTGCGGAAACCGTTATACGGGATCCCTGAAGCTGGGACCCATTGGTGGGCAACGTACCACAAGCACCACCGGGAAAGGCTCGAGATGGTCACATCGACTTACGACCCATGCTTATTGGTCTCCACTGGAAAGGGAGCTTTCGGTGTTGTTGGAATGCAAACCGATGATACACTGATTTTGGGGACCGACGAGTTTGCCACGCTCGAAGAGAAGGAATTGGCAGAGGCAAAGTTTAGCGCCAAACCCAAGGATACTCTATCTTCAGAGAACCCGCTGATATTCAATGGCTGTGTTCTGACGCAGAAGGAAGGAGACGTTACCGTTGAGTTACGCCAAAAGGAGCAGGGTAAGAGGCTAAAGCTCATCGACCACAATTCCAAGGACTTTAAGCACGTGTATATGGAACAGCGTGCTCGCGGAGCCTACATTGCAACGATCTGCCAGCCGGAGGCTGCATTCGACCTATCCGTTGCCGCCCAACACCAGGACCCTACGGAAGCCGACGTCAACGCGTTGAACAAACGCATCAAGTGGCAAATGAAGAACCTGGACAGAGGTATCAAATATGTCGCGATAGACCTGTCAGCTGCAAAACTCTTCGTGTTCATCGATGGATCATTCGCGAACAACAAAGATTTCAGCTCCCAGATTGGATATGAGATCATCTTCGCGAACGAATCCGCCGAGAATGAGGAATTTGAGATCACCGGAAACCTGATCCATTGGAGCTCAACCAAGAGCAAACGAGTTACCAGGAGCGTTCTGGCATCGGAGATCTACGGGATGGTAGGAGGTGTCGACATGGCAATTGTAATCGGCACAACAATCAAGATGATCATGGACCAACTTGGCTTTGGGAAGATCCCTACCATCGTGTGCACGGATTCATACTCTCTCTACGAATGCCTCGTCAAGCTCGGCACCACCAAGGAGAAGCGCCTCATGATCGACATCATGGCACTTCGCCAGCCATACGAGCGGAGAGAGATAATAGAATGGCATTGTGCGACCTACAGATGCAACGAGGTGCAGTATGATCGAAGTTCGTTTTTTTTGTTCCTTCGTTTTATTCGTCAGTTTTATTCGTTCGTTTTGTTCGTTCGTTTTTTTCGTTCGTTCATTTCCTACTTCGTCTATTTCCTACTTATGGGCACTGGTCCCTTTGCACAAAAGAAAAGTTGCCAGTGTCGGGACATAACGTCCCGTTCTTGGTGTACGCATTCTTGCGCGGAGCTGCAGCTCTGGTGTTGTGACCGCCGAGTGTCCGTGCATGGGATTAAGGGGTATCTTGGAACCTGAGATGAGCTGAACACACATCTATCTATCTATCTATCTATTTTTACATGAATCAAATTGACCTTTGCTTTGGAAGCATAACCACTGTCCACTTAACTGTGTACACAGTACCTAGCTGGTGATACCAACAGGCCCTTTTTCCAGGAATTGACCGGAAAGAAGGTTATTGTTGCGCATAACAATCCCCCATTCCTTTTCAGTCATGTCGGCGGGGTGACTAATTATTAGAATCTATAGGTATATCAAGGGAAGGAAGTGACTAACATGATACTCCCACCTGCCTTTGCTGCCCAGCTGCTGTTGGTGAAACTAGAGGTCAGAGGCGCTCCGGTTGAGGCTGTTGCGAAGTCGACTTTTGCGGCCTAGCCTGTTAGGATCTATCCTTGAAGAAAAGATTAGATTAAACTTACATTGGAAAGGTCAATGGGCTTATTGATAAAGGCTTCTGCCTTTGGGTCCAACTTCTTCGTTTCCCTCTCCTTGGTGAGGATGTAGATGTTGTGTTTTGTCAGATTTCGATCTTCGTTCTCAGTATTGGCCTTGGGATTCTCCTCGATATAATGATCAAAGGTAATGTTATCAGTCACTTCGATTCCATCCTTGGTGCAGAATGGTTTATTCGAACTAACAACATTGTTAGCATCTTTTATCTATATAACATACGAAGACTCACTCAGCCTTCTCCAGATACCCATCCTTCGAAAGGTGAGCTCGGATGATGCCCAATGCGGAAGTTGCCAGCTGCGACGGTGTCGGTGCCAATTTACCACCAGGCAGCAGCTTTGCCGTTCCAGAGTCATACTTGATGACGGTCAGTAGGAGCTTCCCGTCGTTCGTGGAGGCGGAAGCGGGGGCGGTGGCGGTGGCGGTGGTTTCCTCGTTGTTCCCATCGATGTTGTCTGGGGCGACCACAGCCGGTGTGTTGTCATTCATGTTCAACAGCCCGGTAAGGAGGCTGCTTGCAAAGGTCTCTGGCATCTGAAAAGGAATTGAAATGAACAGTTGTAACTTTTTCCATGGTTCTTCATCAAAAGTGCGGTAGCACCTAATATACCCGCTGAAACGCAGCTGAGAGTAGCTGGCGTAGCTGAGAGAGCTGATCATATACGTCAATCTTGCCCATTCTAGCAATATTACGCATCCATGCGGGGATCAGCGGGAAGCTAAAGGAACAAATGGTCTGTGCTTCTCTCTAGTTGCATATATTGGTGGCCAACTCAGCAGCTTTGCCCAGATTTTCATAACGCGTGTGCAAAGACCCGACTAGTGGGTCTCACCGCTACTATGACGGTCATGTTCGCTAGTAGATGAGCTTCATTGTTGAATTTGGGGGCAGATTGTACCGCGATCAGCCATTGACTAATTCTACATGCACACCGATCATAATTGATCTTGAAGACGAGAAGATCAAGCTCTGAAATATAAGGCAAGGCGTTTGGTCGACCTGCCGACATTGGCACCGCGGCGGATGGAACGTAGGGAGACTGTACCAGCTCCCATCGGAATCTGCATGTTCTTTGATGATCCTCTAGGTTCCCACATTTCAAGGCCCATATATTATCTATTAGTTACTATGATTATCTGACCTTTCAGAGAGAAACAAAGCTACCTTCTAAATTAGAATTTGCTCAAGAATAAAACAGGTGAACATTGCCAGTTTCGTTTTTCTGGGAGCAAAGCATTTCTAACTTATGATTGGCTCGTGGTTACTCCTTTCTCCACCTTGGAGAAGGGCCAGACCGTCGTATGGTATGGGGGGAAGAAGAACTCGGTAACCCTAGTGGCTGTCCCGCCGATATACAGCCCTGTCGACGAAAGTGGCCAGATATGGTTAGCGTATCTCTTACTCTTGTTGAGAGTGCCACTAGACCGAAATTGGCAACACCTCGTCCCACGTCGAATTTTCAAGGGATACTTTCGATTCGTGAAGATCTTGGTATTTTATTGATCGGAATGCACTGTATACCAATACCAAGATTGAGGACACTCCAGCGCAGCGCAGATAGACTGAAAAATGAGAAGTTTGATGCCGTACTTGAGTCCACGGAGTGTAGTATTTCGGTCCTGAAATCGATGGGCGTTGACTTCCAAAAATTGCTCCATGTGACCTTGTGATGTTGGATGTTGATGGATGACAGGAATATCCTGTATAGCTAGGGAAATACAATGGATGTACTAGGAGATTGGCGCAACCCAATCAAAAAAGGGGAACTACCCCAATGATGAGATCAAAAGAGTGTTGATTCCCCTCTCCTATCTACTGGGATCGAGGGGGTTAAAATAGCCTCGAGAATACCTGGTATCGAATCCTCTAGAATCCCAGAGGTACCGTTTGGGTCAATACGATGCTGATCACCATTTTCCTGACAATGGATCTTGTGCAAGGTCGTGGATCCTTGAAGTATGGAAGGTCTCTTGTCGATTTCCTCCCGCGGGCGAACTACCATAGGGAAGCTAGGGTGAGCCGGCCTCGTTTTAGTAAATCGTTAATAGCTATAGAGGCAATGCGCAGAGGCGCAAGTCTTCTATTCAAGTTCTTATAGCAAACAAGAAACTGCGCTTATTGCTGTCTTTACCGATATTCACTGGTGTCCTCCCTGTAGGTCATTGTAAATGCTAGAAAGCTTTCTGAGGCATCTAGCATTCTCTAGTGGCCTTGCATTTCTATTCTGGGAGAAAGCATGCGAAGTGCATTGCGTGCTGTTCTTTCTGAAGAAAGTCTGGTTGATTGAATAGGATTGGTTAAACAACATTACCTTCTCCACCTAGATCTAAGGTCCGTGCATTTTCCTAATACTCTCGCACCCCCAAAGTCTCTGGATTGAAATTAGTTCAGCACCTCTGCTCCATTCCGAGCTCTCGGGCGAGACTGGAGAACTTTGGAACTTGCTATCCACCTCTCCTGTGGTTCACTAGTACTGTGAACAACAAACGCATTATCGACGTGAATGTCTACTTGCTTCCCTCGAAAACTTCCCACTATGTGGATAGGTCCTGGGAGCGTTATCAAACTTGATTTGATAGATGAATGCAACCTCCAACTGCATCTCGATTATAGAATTTGTGGAATCTAGTCATGGTAAAGAACCACGCAGATATAGTATGAGCTAGAGAACTGGGATGTCAAAATGTGGTTAGCGTATCTTTTACTCTTGCTGAGGGTTCCACTAGACCAAAACAGGCACCGTGTCTGTTAACTTCTCAGTCCCCGCTATTTCCTGCCATTATTCTGCTGCACCAAAAATTCCATTCAATTATTCAATTATTGTAACTACTATTCAGTGTACCCTCCATTAGAGTCAGTAATCGCCTGCATCTAACGTAGCACACTCTCCGATAGACCTTCTCGGATATAAAGTCAAGTTGCTGCCCGGCCCATCTCTAAAACACGGTGGAATATCAACGTACGTTGGGAATCGAGCCAGAGCAATGGCGCCATTTAACCTTATTGGTGGTGATCAATAGAGGGCCGCGGAGAGCAAGCGAGCAAAAGAAACCGGTGCAGTTTTACGAACCCATGTACTACAGCGCTTGTTAATTCTAGGGCTCTCTATCCCACGGGGGTGGGTGTAGTCTGGTGTTACGCACGACTAACGGGTCGTCGCTATGTTAGAAGATTCCTGGGTTATACTTGCCTGATGCTTCTCTGCTCCCAACGTCAACGATCTGTCTCTCGACCGTTCCGTTGCCTGACAGGCCTTATACGGGCTAAGTCCTTTTGAGGGTATCGAGGAGCGATGCCAGATAGAGCGCCGAACTAACCAATACCGGGGTATAGGTCTATTCGTAGTGCTGTCAAGTTATAATCAAGTTGTACGAGTCACCAAAGGTTCTGAACAGTAGACACAAGTAACAATGTATGATTGAACACGAAGAACTGAACTAGATACATGAATGAGTGTCCTTATATATCCTGAGTCCTTCTGAAGTAGAACAGTAGAAAGTAGAATAGTAGAACTGTTCTACCTGTCGACTGTCGACCTTTCTACTACTTGCATGATCACGTGGTGGTCGTCTCATTGGTTATTGCGGTATACAATGAGATGGCGAGCGGAAGGCCGAAACGGGCCTTGTTGTTGCGCAGACTTTGTCCATCATACATAGCCACCTAGGAACGGATACCCCCCACCGTCAGCCCTACTTAACGACGCCAATACTGCGTGTCCACCCTGGCCCCATTGTACGTCCTCCTATCCGGAGGCTTAGTGTACTTATGCAGCTTGTACGACCGCGTTTCCACCCCACTCGCGGCCCCTAACGTTGCGGGAACGAAGCCGCCCTTAATCCAATGCTGGTCCTTGGAGATGCTCTTCGGCACCACCTGGTCTCGCAGCATATCCAGAGCCTGCACGCGCTCCGGGATGCTGATCTCGCGCTTCTTCGACCAGAATGTCACGCTGTAGTCGTGCTCATTCTCCGTCCCGCGGTTCCCGCCATCCCACGTCTGTTTGAACTGGACTTCGCCGTTTGTATTCGGCAGGACCATCCACGGCGTCTCACCGCCCTATCCCACGGGGGTGGGTGAACTCTGCCAGAGTTCAGGTTAGGGCTTTGTCTTAACTATGGGACATAAAAAGTGGGCCCCGCCTAGACCTGGCACTAACCCGCGGGTAACCCTCATAACCCTGCACCTAACCCTCCGTTTGGGCGGGTCAGGTTCCAAGATCCCGACCCTCAATGAGGGTTGGTCCGACGACCGACCCTATCCCACGGGGGTGGTGCAGTCAGGGCTAGACCTGGCTTTGCACCTCCCCGCGGTGCGGAATCTCAGAACCTGCACCGCACCTCAAGAGGTGCAGGTGCAGACTTTCGCACCTCAACCAACCCTGAGGGTCGGGAGGGTCGATGGAGGGTAACCCTCATCGACCCGCATAAACCCGCATTTGCATAATTTTTCGACGCCTTTCCTCTTCTGGCTGGATAAAATGGATGATTCATCTCTGATTTTAACGGCTGTTCCGTCAACCTATACACATTCCATTGAATACTCTATCAGCATAATAAGTTATGAAGAAATAGTCATCTAAAAGTAAACAGTAGGCATGGTCACCTACAAATTACAAGTAATATTCGATAATATCGATGTAGTGGGTGGTCAACAGAGGTCATCAACAAAACAGTATGTAAGGTTGTAGATATATATATCGTGGACACTGTAAAGCATGTGTATTTTCATAGGTAGAACAACTATTTTTCAAGAAAGCTATGAAGACGTAGTCTGAATCCCCTCATTTTTTTATTACTTGAACCGTTATGTCTTCTTCTGTCAGTTTGCTATTAAGAATTCAGGTCAAATGATATAGGTATATCGTAAATTCGTTTGAAATGTTCTAATTGTTGGACTTGGACATTCTGATCAAGACTGTTTTCTGAAATTGAGGGTCCTTTTGAGGTGTGTTGAGGTGCGTTGCGGTGCGTTCAAGGGTAATAGAGGGTCTCTTTGAGGTGTATTGAGGTGTACTGAGGTGCGGGGAGGGTTAATTCCCGGGTTATCCACTATACTAGCGAATCAGATATAGATAGGTGGATACAAAAAACGATATATCAATTCCAGCATATACAACAGGGTCAAACGGATACCCCAAGAACATCGCGCGTCTTTTCGCACAAACAAATCAGTAAGTTCTCTATTATCTCCCTCCTCAGTCAATACACTATCTTCTGGTTTACTAAATCCATGATGTCTCAGCTCTCCGACGTCTACCCATCGTCTAGCTTCGATACTCAGGACGGGTTACCATTAGACGCGCTACAATACCTTATTCCTGACGATTCTCTATCCCACCGCCAAAGCAAGAGTCAGTTACCTTCTGAAAGCCAGTTTGATTCAGCACTAGACCTTCCGGATAATCGAGTTCAAATTCGTACGGCATCTCAGGCCCCAGATACCCTTCCGCGAATCAGGCCCGACTGTATCAACGAGTTCATTATCTGCATACCAGCGATGTCTGCAGAATTCGTTAAGTGGTGGCTTCACACTGACTACGGTAAGTCAAAGCGAATTAACTGGGACATAAGCCCTAGTAGCCGTCGTGCAAAATGCTGGGAAGGGTTTCAACAAGTTGCAAATGCCAAAGATGGAAAGCCAGGCGTTATATGCAATCACTGCCGTACAGTTCTCGCGCATCCAGCTACGAACCATACTGGAACGTCGACGATGCAGAAACATCTCGATGGACCAAGGTGCCGACAGCGACTACCGAAGAAGGGTACTAGTAGTATCTATCAACTACTCAGTGACGCGGTATGTTCGAACTAGCCTAGATTCAACGTCAATACTAATACCTAATTCACTCTCCCTTAGGCCGAGAGAAGACCAGCGCCTACCTTCACCCAACGAACATGGGAGCAGAAGATTCTTAATCTTATCACTACATCGCAATTACCCTTCCGATTCCTCGAGCATCAAGAATTCCATGATCTTCCTTTCCTACGCACGGCTAGCACCCACACCACCAAGCGTTCCATCGAGAAAGGTGATTCGCGAGCGCCTCCGGAGTTTCGTTATAGAGTATCAACAAGAGACACTACAACGGCTCCCATCTAGTGCAAAACTATCACTTGCGCTTGACTGTTGGACTTCACCATTCCAGGACGCATTCATGGCTATAACAGGATACTTTATAGACCAGGAATGGGAGTATCGCGAGGTCCTCCTTGGGTTTGAGCCCCTTTCTGGAACTCATTCTGGCGTAAACCTCGGTGAGGTTGTTCTCCAGATTCTACAAAAGCACCAAATCACTGATCGTGTACTGGCGGTGACAACTGATAATGCGTCTAATAACAAGACGCTTATCGCAGCAGTGAATGATTCAATCCGCGAACTACAGCTGAAGACAGATTCTACGATTATTCAAGTGCCCTGCCTTGCGCATATTATTCAATTGAGTCTGATTGATTTACTTGGTAAAATCAAGGCTTCACCGAAGAACGACACCGCCGAATCAGTATGGTCTGATGAGCGTGTACGTTTACTTCGTGCGCGCCAGCAGAAACATAAGATCGCCGATACTCTAAACAAGGTAGGTTTCTATTTAATAATCTTATACAATCCACTAACCATCCTTATAGGTTCGAGGTCTTGCGGTTTATATCAACGGAAGCCCTCAACGTAAGGAAGCCTTCTTGAATCTCCAGTCCAATGGGCAAAAGCTTGTCCCAATCCAGGACGTCCGTACGCGATGGAATTCGACGTTTCTTATGCTCCGACGGGCGAAAGGGCTTCACATTACATTCGACGAGTACTGTTCGTACCATGATCAACCCCACTTTGCATTAAGTGCAGAGGGGTGGCGACAGATTGACTATCTGCTTTATATCCTCCAGCCCTTCTTCACGTTCACTACATTAGTTTGTCAAACTAAAGACTCGAGTATTCACCTCGTCTTTAGTATTTACAATAGGCTCTTTGATCATCTTGAAAGATCTATACGTCAGCTTCGTCGAAAGAAGGTGGCTTGGAAACAGCTGATGCTTTCCTCCCTTGAGGCCGCGAAAGATAAACTATCGAAATACTACGGTATGACAGATAATGTCGAAGGTGATCTATATGCAATTGGAACAATCTTGGATCCGTCGAATAAGATGGAGTTCTTTTCAACAAGTGATTGGGCCCCGGATAACTCAGGAAAGGACTACAAAAAGGAATACCGAGAGAGCCTTCAGTCTCTGTTCGAGAGATATAGCCTACGTATACCATCTGATATGACACAGTCTGATAGCAGGCTATCAACAAACAAATCAGCGCTCGAGAGGGCTTGTAGGCGCGATCTCTCGAAGCCATCAACCGGTCCGCAATACGATGAACTTACTAGATATCTTCAGAGTGGTGAGTGAGTAAGCCTACTAAATGAATTATGGAACTAACCTTCTTAGACACTATCGATGAATCCGCTCGGATCTTCTGGAGAAATCATGAGAAGGAGTTCCCTATTCTTGCAAGCATTACCCGTGATGTGATGTCTATTCCAGCGACTGGTGCCGGAGTTGAGCGTCTTTTCAACTCTGCCCGGGACGTTTGCCACTACCGCCGGGGTTCGTTGAACCCAGAAACTGTTCGCGATATCATGTTGTATTTGTGTACAACAAGGTTCGATATCAAGGAGGAACAGAGGCTGATTCTCCAGGAGTATCTTTCAGAGCAAGAGATCGCAGCCACGTCTGAAGAACTCAATATCGAGATACATTGCTCCGAGGCCATCAGTGATACCGAGGAAGACGTCGAGATGTACCTTGATATACCGGCCGCACTACCACTCTCAGAGGTCGCTGCTGGGAAGCGGCCGGCGGTCACTTTTGACGATGAGGAAGACGCCAATGCCGATAAATTTGCGGATCCAGAAGAGAACTCGCCATCACCCTTGCCTGATACGCAGCATCGTGTATCAGGTAGGATGCGGAAAAGGTCGAGACTACTGGACGGGTATATAATTTAACAGTTTGAGTCTTGAGAGCCCTGTATTCGAATCTAATTATAATATAAACAATTGATCATCGAAAGCCCTGTTCGAAGATAAACCTATGATATGCACTAAATTCTCCTGTAAGACTATAGGGTAATGAAATTTTAGTTTACAATTACAAGAGAATACAGCCTGTCCTACATAATTTATGCAATTGACCCCGAGTCACATTCTTTACCTGTTTGTCATGTTTGTCGACCCTCAGGTTTACCCGCGGGTTACCCTCATGAGGGTCGGTCGTCGGACCAACCCTCATTGAGGGTCGGGATCTTGGAACCTGACCCGCCCAAACGGAGGGTTAGGTGCAGGGTTATGAGGGTTACCCGCGGGTTAGTGCCAGTGTTATGATAACACTGGCTCCGGACAGGCAACGACAGAATCAAGCCGCCGAACATGGATTTGCTCATGGTATTCTTACCCGATACTGACATTTTCTCTGTGCTACAACTGGAATGCTCCTGCAGTCTAAAATTCTAGGATGCGAGAATAATTATACTTGACCTACACAAGTTTTTCGAGAAGTAAGTTATAATACGAGTGCCCTCACGATATTAGCTGACTTTTGGATGTGTTCATTAAGGTGCTTCGATTTGACAAAATACTTGCCGATTTGCATGTCGAAGTGAAGGATCTTAACACGTCAGAGACATGGTTTACAACGCCGGTGCTGAAACCGAGACAGCAAGGGCCTTGGGACGATTTCAACATCTTTCGGGTCTCAAACTATACCGATGTTGAACGACGCCTGAATGAAGGCTGACAAAATTGGGTTTGTTCTCTCTTTCTCAATTTTACATAATCTTTCTTTCGAGAACTTATGGCACATATGCTTCGAAAAGGTCGAAGAAGGTTTAATACTCACTGATTTGACACTATACTGGTTTCGCGTCGGTCAGTGCAGCTTCTCTGGAGTCGTTCCCCTCAAATTCGCGAAAGGAATGCAATTAATGTGTTAGCTGATTTTCGACACTTATACTCCGTTGGCTCTATCTCGCCACCCAAGTAAATTTCCACTTTCCTCGCAAATAATTGCTCCCTCTCCCATCGGGTAATGATGTACCCCAAGTGACCAAACTCCAGCTCGTTCAATCTAGTCCTCTCCAAAAATTCCTCGCAGCTGATACTGAATGCGTAGCAAGCCGCCTTTGTTTCCGGGAATACAGTCATGATTAAAGTTCTCAGTGCCCGCGCATCATTGTCGGCATTATTTGGATCATATTGCATCCAGTGGCGTATTTAGCCACTAGCAAAGCAATGCCCGCGTCCTCATCAGATCCCTTAATCAGCATAAAAAGCGCTAGGGGGTCCGCGAGCCTGAAATCAGGGGGTACAACGCCACAGCCAAGCATTGTTCTTAATAAATATAGGGCCACATTAGAAGGACCCCCATGGAAGCTATTCGGACCCCTTCTCTACCCGCTAAACCTAACTAGGCCTCATGCAGTAATTGTATTTCCAATGCATTTAATCGGTAAAAATGCATGCATTTCTTGGCAATATAGGATGCCCCGAGCATCGGAGGTCTCATGGATCTAAGGTACTTCCATCTACTATGCAGCCCCCTAGTAAAATTAAGTTACCTTCGTACTCTACCATCGACCATGCCAACTGCATGGCGCTAGTCCTAAATAGGTGGCAGCCCTAATCCATAATTTAGGGTATCGCCAACTCCATGTCTTCGGCTTCATGCATTTCGCCAATTTCAACACACCACAACATCACCAATATACCCGCTGCCAATTTCTACAATTATTTGATCGCCCAAAAATGGCTATTCAGCCCATATTGAAATTTTCAGCTCACAAATAGCGATGCTGGCCCCGTGAGGGCGTTACAACCACCACCTTACTGTTTGTTGACATTCTCCTTCCAAAACCGTCGAAATGGCTCCAAGATCCGCCTCTAGAACCCCTGAAGCAAATGACACTGACTGGGATTCGAGTCTCGCAGCTTCGCCGGCGTCATCTCGCTATTTCACCCCTGGTCCCGTCGAAATCGACCTCGAACTGGTGGAAAAACCTACAATTGAAGACGGCAAGCTCTTCGACACTGCCCAGGACGGCATCGATGCGGTCAATGACTCTCTTGCGTCTATTGGGTATGCGGTTGTTAAGCACCGCTCGAAATCCCGCGGTTCTAAAGCACTCGGAAATGAAGCTGTCTACCTTGTTGTCCTTCGTTGCGACCGTGGGAGACGCCCAGACCCTCGCCCTAATACTCCTGACGGTCCGGAAGACGCCCTACCTCGTCCCGACAGACATTCGGGGCGGCGACCGCGTGCTCGTATCGCCTACGTCTCTGTCTCCAGCCGACTGGGCACTGGAGGTTGCAGGTAGACCATGGGGAGCATAACCACCCGTCGTCGAGGCTATCAAGTCATCCTGCGCAGCGCCGGCTTGCTCTCCGGCGTAATGAAGCTATGGTCGATCGTCTAATACGTCATGGAGTGCCTCCCCGCCAGATCCTCTCGATTCTCGCTGGACAGGGCGCTCAGTTAAGGGAGCATGATATCACCAACCGTACTCAGAGGCTTATCACCGAGTTTCTCGCCGGCCGGACCCCTATCCAGGCCCTCTTCGAGGAGCTACCGAAGCGCGGAGAGTGGTATCTCCGTCATACAACCCAGTTCGACGGTAGGACAGTGTCGGGAGTCTTCGCAATACATCGTACTAGCGTTGCGCAGCTTCGGGAGTCTCCTTACGTGCTATGGATGGACTGTACGTATCAGACCAACCGCTTTAACATGCCGTTACTTGATATCATTGGAATCAACTCGGTCGGGAGGTCCTTTTCGGTCGCATTTGTCTTCCTACCGAGCGAGCGAGAAGACGCGTATAGCTGGGCTTTACGGTGTCTACAGGGCGTCTACGACGAGTATGACCTTGGGAATCCCCTCACGGTATTCACTGCTAAAGAGAAGGCCCTCCTGAATGCGATTGCCGCTGTCTGGCCGACGACGGGTTCCTTGATCTGCCATTGGCATGTCAATACGAATATTAAGTCGAAGGCGATGCCAGCTATCGGTAAGCATACGAAGGCATTGATCGCCGCCGGTAGGCTCGCAAGCCAGGATTACATCGAGTACGTCACAACTTTCTGGGAGAAAATGCTACAGCGGTGGACTCGGGTCCTCCATGCCGATAATACGCGTCGTATGAGAGAGCAGTGGCGCTACCTTTGTAGCTGCTATGAGGAGCCGATCTTCGCTGAGCTTCTCGAGTATATCGAGAAGCAGTGGATCAATGAGTCTAGTCTACAAGTGCTTCGGTGCTTCACTAACTGCTTCTTCCACCTCGGCGAGACGTCTACATCGCGGGTAGAGGGCGCTCATGCAGTCCTTAAGAGAGATCTTCAGGGTGCTAGGCGTAACTCTTCACCGTCCTTCATTGCTTCGAGATCGTCATCACTAGGCACTTTGAGAATTCACAGCAAGCTATTACAGATGAGAAGACGCGAGCTCCGACTGAGTCGACGGCGATGGCACGCAAATTGGTGCAAGATGTACAGCGAATAGTCTCACGGCATGCGATATCGAGGGTTCTACGTCTATTTGACGCTCATTTCCCCGATAAAGAGCCGGGAAAGAGACCATATTCGCTTGGTTGCTCGCCTGGATGCAAGGCTACAGGGCTTCCCTGTATCCATAAGCTTCGCTTTGCCGATGTCTTTGCGAATCCCCTCAAGTTATCCGATTTCCATCGCCAGTGGCATCTTTACGAGTATGATGCGCCGGCCCTCAGCCTATTCCACCTCCTCAACGAGCCCGAGATCCTCATCGGCAGCCGCGGTCGGCCCAAAGGCGCATTAAACCACCCTACCCGACGTGACCCGTTACAGTTTGAGATCGTGGATGCTCAGGAAGCACGGAAAGGGCAGCGGATACAACGCGGGCGAGGACGCGGACGTGGAGGCACACAACGGGCGGGGGAAGCTTCATCTACGGCTCAGCGAGGACGTGGAGGCCGAGGACGAGGGCGTGAAGGCACAAAACGGGTGGGAATAGCTTCGTCTACGGCCCAGGCACTGCCTGCAAGCATTCTGACGCCGTCCGCGGCATCTCAGGAACTGGGAATAGCTTCATCGGCGTCCCAGGGCGAGAATGCCTGGTCCTATCGGCTCAGGAAGCGTCGGAAAGGGCTATGAATAGTCTCAGGAAGCATTGGACATCTCCCAATTTGTAAATACGTTAAAATTGACTCCATTTTTTTACGAAATTTGACGTAGAATAGCTGGATTCCTTCATTTCCGCAGAGTTTTCAAAATCAGCATCTATTTCCTATTCGGGGCTAGCGCCGTGCCGTTAGCATGGTCGATGGTAGAGTACGAAGGTAACTTAATTTTACTAGGGGGCTGCATAGTAGATGGAAGTACCTTAGATCCATGAGACCTCCGATGCTCGGGGCATCCTATATTGCCAAGAAATGCATGCATTTTTACCGATTAAATGCATTGGAAATACAATTACTGCATGAGGCCTAGTTAGGTTTAGCGGGTAGAGAAGGGGTCCGAATAGCTTCCATGGGGGTCCTTCTAATGTGGCCCTAAATATATGTGGTAGTGGCAGGAGCCGAAATGCGCTGTGAGTACAACATTCCTTAAGTCTGAGTTGCCCCTTGTGTTCATAGAGTGTATCATTTTGATCCACTGGTGGAACCTCTCCATCGCAACCTTGGGTTCCTCTGACAACGCGTTGTAGAGGTCATTCGGGAGTTTCCTTTGAGCCGACTTCTTGTTTGCCCTGAGGGTCGTTTTTATGAAAGAGGAGAATATTTCGCCAGTGAGAGAAAATGCGGTCAATTGTTCGACCTGACCATCCATGCTCAGACCAATATCGTAAAAAACCACTGTAATCATGTCCACGTTCAACTGCTGAGTACTGTATTCGATCCGCGTCGTGACCTCGTTCGATTCGAATTCGAGGTGCTTGCAGCACTTGGAAAAGCCGAGCCTAAGCACCATCGAGTCGTATTCGCCCAATCCGGAGGAGACGTGGCATCCCTCGGCCGAACATTTCACAACTGACGACATCTTGCAAGCATAGCCAACTTTAACCCAGATAGCACGAGTACAGATGGCATCAAGGCCTAGAAGGCACGTTGTCTGTATGGATATCGAGGAGGGTGGTAAAAATGAGGAATTCCGGAAAAGCTGTCGTTTTGAAGACCAGGTGACGCAGCGTCAATCAAAAGTGCGGGGTGTCGCTAGAGATCGCCTGGCGGGGATATTTTGATTATGCTATACTTCATAGTTAGTTGCTTTTCTAGGGTAATCGCTTCCAGGATATTTATAATAATGCAAAAGAACGAGCTGAAATTCAACACTCTATACCCTCGAACTCTCGCGAACAAATCTCTAATTCAAGGTACCGCTCCGCACGAATCGAATCGAATCGAACTGTTGAGTATTGCGGTGGTCAAAGCTTATGGCAGGACTAGCGATGGACATTTAAATAGACGGGGTTCCCACTTGTGATAGTAACCTCAACAAGAACACTACAATTACCTATCTCAACAACTGCCTCCTGTTTGTACCCCAGCACAACAGAGCCTGGCCAGTAGATGCGATGGCACGTGACTCATCTGGGGTTTTCGTCCGAGTTTCTATTGGCTGAACCACTATCCGCCCTATCCTGCCACCAATTTCGAGGGCGATTAAAAGATAGAGGAATTGCGGAAGAAGACTACTGTTTTGATTCCAATGATGCTATATTCAAGGTACAACAAGCGTCGTGGCGCTGGTTGTTTGTGTCTTGAGTTTCCTACACGTGACCTTCGTCTGGGTTTTTCGTTCGAGTTTCTATTGGCTGAGAGTATTTCACTTCCCTGTCACTAATTTTCAATAATATGTAAAAGGAAAACTAGCTTTGGAATCTGGTGGATGCGAGCTTTCTAATCATACTAAAGTGCTTTCCATCCGGGCGTTGTGGTGTTGTGGTCACCTGCCACGATTTGCCTGTTGGAATGGAGACGCAAGCACTTCCTGCTCTTGCTCTAGTCCGTGGGCCAGGTGATAAGAAACTCATCCCGTCGTCGGACGGAACTACTTGTCGAATCGAGATCGATAACGTCCCATATTGCTCCTTCTGCCGAAAACCTTATCACGTTGACTCCGAATGTTTCACCAAGAATCCGAAACTGAAACAGAAAGACGGAGATGGACCGAAGCCAAAGCCAGGCAGGATGCATACGGGCACACGCAAACAGTTGAAGAAGCGGCCTTCGACGGATGACGAGGATGATGATGCCGGTGGTCCAAAGGATCCAAAGAAACCAACTTTCATGGCGACGAGAGTCTCCGAGAAAGATGTCAACGAAGCATTTGGAAACGATATCGAGGGCAATTTCGCCCTGTCCGACCATATTCCCATAATGATGGCGATAAAAACCCTCTCTATTCGCGACGCGTGGATCGTGGATAGTGGATGCGCTCAGCACGTCTGCAATAGTGCCTCGAGGTTTGTCCAAATGGCCAAGTACCATGGCCCCTCACTTACAGGCGTTGACACCTCAACGGCTCCCTCAGGAGTGGGAACAGTGAATATCCTTTGCAATGTACGCGGCAGAAAGAAATGGCTTGTGCTTGATAACGTCCTCTATGTTCCATCTGCACACGCCAATCTCATATCGGTGCTCCAGCTTCTCAAACGAGGAGCAAAGGTCGAATTCTCAAGCCGGAGTGCTATCATTCGCAACAAGTCAAACGAAAAGAATCTATATACTGCCAACGAATATCATGGAGTCTACGCACTCGATCTGTGGACAAGTCTGACTTTTCCCTCTTACCATGTTAGCCCGCAAATGTCTCTGTGGCACAATCGGCTTGCTCATATGAGTGATGCAAATCTTCGGCGACTCAAAAAGCAGGCTCACGGTGTTCGGGACATGGAGCCACGTCATCCATGCAATTCGTGTCTGCAGGGGCGAATGATCGAAAAACCCCACCGCAGATCAGGAAATAGCAGGAGAGGAGAACACGCAATGGAGCTCCTCCATATTGACGTTGCAGGGCCATTTGACGAGGGCTTGACGGCAGTCGTTACTGGCTCACCATCGTTGACGATTTCACGGGCTGGATCGAGATTATCCCTATACCACGAAGACAAGAGTTCGTCATAGAATCACTACGGTTCTTCCTCGACCACAATGAGCGCCCCGAACGAAAATGCAGGCGAATACGTCTCGACAGAATATCTGAACATGTGGGAGACGAGATGAAGTTCATGTTGTTCTCGCGCGCAATTCAAGCGGGCAATTCAAGCTGAGGTGACAGGAGTGGATCAACACCAGCAGAACGGGGTCGCTGAAAGAGCCCACAAGACAATTTATGATCGGGTTAGGCCTACCTTAGCACATGCGAGGTTGCCGTCTACATTCTGGCCGGAAATTGCTCGAACCGCAGCGTTCCTCTCCAACCGGTCGCCGTCATCGAAGCTCAACATGACTCCGTACCAAGCGTGGTATGGCGACAAGCCTGACCTATCACGACTCAGAGTGATCGGATCCAAAGGGGAATACTTGATCCCGCCAAAGCAAAGAAAGAAGCTTACGGATCCGCGAACAAGGCCATGCATTTTGCTAGGCTATGAAGGAAATACCAACTACCGTATCCTCCTGGAAGACGGAAGAATCGTTGGGACTCCAAACGCCGAATTTCACGAAGTCCTTACAGCTCCCTCCACACAGACTATAGAAGATGTGGGAGCCAGACAAGACGGCTTACCTGAGGCAACGGCTGCTGCCGAAGGGGGAGTGAGACGGTGGGACTAATAAATCAACCGTCGGTAGGCATCTGGCAAGCATCCGTGCCTGCTTCGGGGCGCCAATTGTCAATGGCACCATCGGAGCGGGCCCTACCTAAGCCGAGAAACGATATCTCGCACATACTGCCTCGGAGTAACGATAACTCGCGAGTGCTTACCCAGCCGAGTAACGATAACTCGCAAACCCCAGCGTCGTCTCAATCGAGTAACGAAGACTCGCAGCCAGCTGTTGCTGTACAGGGAGACAGGACCTTGTCGTCCATACGGAGTGACGATGCCCTCGGACCCCTATCACCTGCTTATCAGGATTCTGTCCTTGGGATTGACTCACCACCCGGTGGCGACCAGCAACAAGACGACGCTCAACAAGGGCTAAGTTCAGGAGAATGGCAACGATATCCAGAACTCCAACTTGAACTTGACAACCCAGTTCATGAAGTGCAACAAGGAGCACTAGATCATCACCCTGAAATGAAGATTCGTGCTCCACAAGTCACACTAGACACGTCTGATGAGAGCGAAGAATAGCTTGCACTAATGAATATACCCGAAGAGAACATCATCCCAACACTCTTAACGGTAGCTGCAGAGGAAACAGAACCCTCTGAGCCAAAGAATCTGCATCAAGCGAAGAACGACACAAGCTGGCTCGAATGGAAAATTGCAATGCTTGAAGAAGTGAACTCACTCAAGCAAAACAAAACGTGGGAGCTTGTTGATTCCCCCAAAGACCGGCGAGTTCTCAGTGGAAAATGGGTCTTCAAACTCAAACGAGGACCTCACGGGGAAGTACTCCGCCATAAGAGCAGATGGGTGGTGAGAGGCTTCACACAAGAAGACGGTATTGACTATGATGAAACCTTTGCCTCGGTTGTCAAGCCAATGAGCTACAAAGCCCTCTTCGCAATCGGAGCGGCCCTGGACTTCGAGATCGAGCAAATGGATGTCAAAACCGCATTCTTGTATGGACATATAGACCACGAGATCTACGTCGAACAGCCCCATCACATGACGGATGGCACCCCAAGGGTTTGCAAGCTTCGAAAAGCCCTCTATGGATTAAAGCAGGCTCCTCGCATCTGGTACCAGACCCTCACGAACTTCCTGCGCAGTCTTGGCTTCGAGCCAATCACCGCCGATCTTGGTATCTTCGTTCGGAGCAATATGTACATCGCGGTATATGTTGATGATCTCCTGATCGTGGGTCCGAGTATCGCAGAGATCAAGAAGATCAAGCGGAGCCTAAGGAACCGTTTTCAGATGACAGATCTGGGCCCATGCAGCTACTACCTTGGGATATCCATCCAGCGGGACCGCCAAAACAGGAAACTGTCCCTAAGTCAAGAAGCATACATTGACAAGGTTGCTCATCAATTTGATATCGGCAACTGCGCTCCCATCGGCACGCCGATAGAAACCTCACCGCTTCCAGAGAACAGTCCAGACTACACGTGCCCTCCAGATCAGAGGACCTCTTACCAACGCATGGTCGGATCTCTGATGTACATCATGCTTGGAACCAGGGGGGACATCGCGTATGCAGTCTCTGTGGCGAGTAGGTCACTGGCAAATCCTGGGCCCCAGCACATAAAACTCGCTCAACGCATCCTGCGGTACCTCAAAGGAACCAAGAGCCTCAGACTCGCGTACAAGGGTCAGCCTCAGAAACTGAAAGGCTTCACAGATGCAGATTGGGGAGGATGTCGTGACACGAGACGATCAACAGCTGGGTATCTCTTCAATATTGGAAGTGGGGCCATCAGTTGGCAATCGAAACGCCAGGGCGTCGTTGCTCTCTCAACGTGCGAAGCCGAATTTCTCGGGCAGACACAAGCCACCAAAGAGGCAGTCTGGTTGAGAAGGCTTCTCAACGAATTGAATATGAATCAAGGATTAAACGCCACGATCATCTGCGGGGATAACCAAGGGGCCATTGCTCTCTCCTCGAACCCACAATACCACTCTCGCACAAAACATATGGAAATCCAACGCAAGTGGCAGGGAGAGGTCCAAGACAACGGAACAGTGAAGCTCAAATATATCCCAACCACAGAACAAATTGCTGATGGGTTCACCAAACCCCTTGCTCGGGAAAGATTTGAGTGGTTTCGGAAAGGGCTTGGCGTTGAGTGATTGCTACACCTTATTTGTATTGAACAAGACTAAGGCGCAGGGTACCCTTTCCTTCCTTTCTTCTCAAATGAAGTTTTTGAAGGTTTTAATGGGACCCGTCACAACCGCGATCACATAGTCACTGACACCATTGGTGATGGTGGCCATCGAGTGGGAGTGTTGAGTATCGCGGTGGTCAAAGCTTATGGCAGGACTAGCGATGGACATTTAAATAGACGGGATTCCCACTTTTGATAGCAACCTCAACAAGAACACTACAACTACCTATCTCAACAACGATATTCATTTATTCATATTCGCGGGGTGCGAATATGAATATGCCCTATATTCGCATTCATTTATTCCTTTCGGAGCCCTAGACGTGATGTGTGGCACGCTTTTAGGACACAGGAGCAGTAATGGCGTATTTTGGGTGTCTCAGAAGCAATTTTGGGAAGGGAGTTGACTAACTGACGCTATGGCCGGGTCCGGTGTCCCGGCAGCAATTCGGGGTGACCCAACAGAATTTACCTAGAATAACAGAAGCTATACAAGAAGGGAAATTTGATGGAGTCCGTGAAGCCCAGGTTCCTGTTATTCCTGATATGGTCTAGTACTCGAGTGGGTCGTGACTGGTACAATACTTATAATCACTGGTAGACTAGCAAATCTTAGGGGTGCTCGCGAGTCAGAAAATACGACACTATAACTAAAAGTTCCTACTGTAGCTGGATGCCTAGGTATTAGTCACGTCACGTCACGTGCGATGTGAGAGCGACGGTCAGGCAAGGTTTGACGGAATCATGTAATAGCTGACAACAGATTGTCTAGCCCATAATGATTTCTCGAGATGTTATTGAGTGGAGCGAAATTCTGACGTGACTGCGGAGGTGACGGGAATGTTAGCGTCACAGTCCTCTCAATGGCTATCTATAGATCTAGATCCCCGCTGACATCACCACTCCCCGGCATCTCTTCCTTTGTGGATGCAGATCTCTAGTATCTTCGCAATTACCCGGGTACTAGTCAGTAAAGAGGCTGTAAACCTGTTCTGATCGATACAATACGGATTTCCCACCAATCAAGACCGTTCCTTTTTTGGCAAATCTCGGGGGAGGACAGGTAAAAAGTGACATCCCATAGATTTCTCCTTTTATGGGGATCGAACTTCCCACCGTCAAAATTACCTCGAGGCAAAGAAAAAGCCTGGCTGGAGACGCGAATCTGTCATCAACTTCTACGCGACTTCTTCCTATATTATCTCGCTGAGTGTCTACGGGACAATCTCACTAACAGCTCCTAACGGAAGATGAGAAAGGCTAAGGAGCTAGTGAAGTTCTGTAATCCAGCAGATTGCAGATCACGATTTTGAATGTTGGTTAGGAGAGCTCAGACCGGTCAAGAAATAGCTCACGTGTGTCGAACCGCCTTCGATTCATTCACACTGTGCCCACACCGATGAAAGCATAGCAGATATGTATGTTGAAGAATGTGGACAAGGGACGCATTTTCTTCTCTATTCTGAGTCTATTAATCTAATACGAATGGCAGATCACTCTGAAGCATGCCTAGGCCTGAGTCAGTTACCATACTTGTATGTCACTTCCTAAGTTCCTCTGTCCCAAGCTATCATTCGGGCTTCGAAGTGAATAACTAAGGTGTAGAACTAATAATATATAGATAACAGACTGGGTTCTGTTCTTCCTTGCCACACTCGCTGTTACAGCTCGGTTATATGTCCGACTTTTCCTCCGAAAGACACCGAGTCTGCTCGCAGAGGGCCTCGTTGTAACGGCTTGGTGTTCTATACTTGTATCAACTATTTTGTACACTATTATAGTGAACAGTGGATCTAGAACTGGCTTTATGAATGGTCTCCAGAAACAGGGCAGTTCGCAAGAGGTGAGGCCATTATATATACGCTCCAACAGACTCTAAACATGAATGCAGCTTCTTTATGTCAGCGCCTTCTTCTGGATCACAGGACTATATTTTACCAAACTCAGCATGGTGATTTTTTATTTCTACCTCTTTCCCCCAATTATGCCTCGGCTGCGCGTCGCGTTATGGATGGTAACCATATACATTATACTTGCATTCATTACGTCGCTTATCATCCTTCTTGCGTGGTGTATTCCGATTCCAATAAACTGGTTAGTTTGCTCTCCATTTGATTACGAAGCTGAAGTTACTTACCTCCTTGTTTCTTAGGAATCCACAAAACCCATGCAGCTCACTTGCAAATAGAGAAACATTCAGTGTATTCTGGGCTTTGAATATTACGGGAGAGATGTCACGTACGAGATTATTTCTCTAATTTTTTATCCTTGATTGCGACTAATTGATGAAATAGTCTTCGTTCTGCCCTTCTTCCTCCTCCCTAACCTGCATGTAACGAAACCTCAACTCTGTACGATAGTGGGGATTTTCGCCATCGGGCTAGTTACGATCCTTGCGGGCCTTGCTCGGTTTATTGTTATCATGATTTCGACTCAGAATGCTGTCACAGGATGTATGCCTCCTTCTCCCCCCATTAAACTATGTACTTAAGGGCCAAGCTGACTGGAATGTAATTTCAAGTCGTCCTAACCCAAACAGAACTCTGCTGTTCAGCGATCACAGTCTGCCTCCCCATGCTCAGGCCACTTGTTCGGCAGGTACTTGGTGGTAGTTGGTTGAATAGTGGTTCCTTGAGTGATACCCATTCCTCACGGACGCCAGTTATAGCGTCAAGGCCAGCCTATCATATTTCTCTGGATGCATTTGGGATCACAAGATGGGAGGAGCGAGATCATTATGAGCCCGGCCACCCGAGGTCCGATCATGAGGGGTTTGAGCTACGGAACAACACGAGATCCACGGTGGAACCGCAATATGAGAGTGCTAGTGGTCTGACGGATGGGGGTGATAGCTTGAGGCTATAACTGAGGACTCCTGATATTATACAGAGAGGACGAGATCCAACTGTTTTTGTATTAGATGTAATTCTAAAGAAGGCTATAAAGTATTATTCCACCCAGAGGTTATCCCAACTACCAATCGCCAATTTATCTTATTCCTACTGTCAAAAAGCGTATCACTCTGCGTCTCGTATCTTCTCTCTCAACATACTCAGCCCTTGGCGTACAAATCCGTGGTAATCAGTATTTTACAGCCTTGCAACTCATAACATCATTGAATTAGACCAATTATCACCTAAATGTATGAGATATCTAGGGCGTTGGATTATGATGATGAAATGAACACACAAATGCATGGTAGTTAGCCGGGGTAGATTGATTGCTTTATAACCTTAAAAGGGTATAAGGATTGAGGTTTTAGAAAACGATAATCGGGGGTACTTAACGCTATATAGATAAATAGATAATAGTAGACTAGATGGGTGCAATGGTTCATCCACGTCCCAGATAGGCATCTTCGGACGCCTTTGTATTATGCCACGCGCACCTAACAGAAGGAGATAGTCCGGCTTCTTCTCAGCAGAGGCAGCTCTGCCCTGGAACGGAGGCGTTCAACAGGCCTACAGTAGCCTCAGCCAGTCAATGGAAGAAAGTCATGCTCAGTCGAGGAACAGGATAATACAGGAATGGAGTTTACATTGGGAAATCAGCCAAGAACGGGCTCTCATTTATGGATGGGCTGGATACGTGCATGGGTGATTTTCTTGACGGCAACCGCCTCAAGAATGGGGCTGGTGTCACACTCCCGGGCGAGCATTCCACCTCTGTTTCGATTTGGACTTGGGGAGAGAAAATGCCTTCAACGTGCGGCTGTGGGCCGAGACAGGTTTATATAGAAGTGGCGGCTACCTATTAGGTCACTGAGGTTACGAAAATTGCAGGGTGGTTTGATGAACTGTTTCGCCAGCTTTTGAAGGACCCCATATGGAAGTTTTATCTCCTTCTTAATGATAGTCGGTAATCTTCTTTTTCACTTTTTTTCCCTCTCGTTTGTCTTCCCTGACTATGTATGATACCTCTGCATCGAGCTCGATGTCGGGGTAGGCATATCCGTCTCAGCGTTCGTCTCGTATCTTTTCCTATCCAATTTAAACTCGGATAGTGACAACTAGTGTCTTTTAAGTGTGTTCTAAGCTCGTCTTGTCTAAGGTAAGTGGAGAGGAAATCTACAGCAGGAGTCATAAGGCCTTTCACTCCCCTACCTTTATGTGATCTAACTTATATGATTAACCTGAGACACTCAAAATTGGGCAAAAATGAGGCGAAAAAAGAGAGGCCAAGGTAGGGCGAAAACAATGCATGAAAGGGTACACTCGCTTCGAAGCTTTCGTATAGAGACTGTCCAATACTTCTTAGCACCGTGTACACATTTATAACCTCTGTTGTATTTGGCCAAAGGGCGGTCCATTTGGTAGGCTCTTTATTTACTGACATGACTTCGTATTTCGTGTTCAAGGCGATGCAACATGAGTCCCATTGATAATCTCCTGGGGCCACCAAAGCCATTCTCGATATTTGGGTCCAGTACAGACAACAGCTGGGTCATTAAGCGCTGGCTGAGACCTTCCATCCACCACATCCACTCAATCTGTCGAACACATGCACACCAATATCCAAATATAATCAGAGCAATCGGTGCTTCCTGTCTTAGGAGATCCAGATAATCATCCCACACATCTAGAAGCCACCGGAACACATCAGCAGTCTCAAGCCTCCAAGTAGCACCAGGCTTCAAGGCAACACCTAATGTCCGCGCTAGCTCATCTAATGTGTCTTGATAGATTTTTTTAAGTATTGACAAACTCGCATTCGAGGTTTAGTGATTCGCTGATTGATGGATTCGGTGCTTAAAGTGCATTGTGCAATTTCTATAAACGAAAACCAACAGTAGTAAATCAAGAGCGTGTTCTGAAAAATATACGGTATTGTAAATGCATACATCAATCACCAATCCCCAATGATGTCGTCCTAGTTCAAGGAGGGATCTGTCTACGGCGCTGTATGAAAGAACTCGAGTCCGACAGAGCCGCAGCAGCGTGCACGTCAAACGTCCGCTTGGCC